TAAAGATCAGTACCTCCTTAATATATGTACAAGATACACTTTAGTTATGTTAAAATATGAAAATATATCTACCTATTTTTAAAATATATTTATTTATTAACACTTTTCTTTTGTGGTTCAGGGTACATGCATGTTTGGCTCAGATGTTACTTGCTGAACTGCAAAAACTGAATACCTATTTCAAAAGGAAATACTGTACTGTGAAGTAATAAACCTAATTAAGGAGAGAGAATTGAATGAACTTATTTATGTAAAGGTCATGGAGAGTGGAAAATTTCAGCCTACAAGGGACGATATGTGCATATCTAAGGTTGGGTGACAATTTGTTTTTCTTTAGCTGAGCTATAAAGTTTTTACAAAATACTTCTAAAAATGTGCACGTGCATGTTATGCAATGAATCAGCAGGCTATTACCATTCTCCTGGCACTGTTTATGTGCCTCGCGGTACCTGGAATGGAATTTTCCATTCAACAAACCGTTTGCCACTGAGCTGCAAATGTATAAACAAGAGGGACTCCATCTCCAGGGTGCAGGTGTGGACAGGAGCATGAGGGTGATATTTTAGAGCACATACGGAACGAAGGTGAGCTCTGAAAAGTCATGGGATAACCTGCAAAAATGCATTACATGGATGCCTTAACTCCGTAGATCCCTTTCCTCGCCATTATAAATGTGGAGCAGTAGAATGAATCAGAGACAAAGGGACAGCAAAATTTACAAAGATTTTTAAAACGTGATCATTGCCACAGAAAATGCGAGAGACACTTCACTCAAAATATTTTTTTTAGTCAGAATTCTAGAAACTCAGCAACATATGACTGCAGTGCTAATCCATCCAAATGCATCACCATGCACAAGTTTGCCTTCATGTGTCCTTTCTATCCAGAGGGAGCAGGAAGCTGCTTTTGCACAGTATCTAGTCTCATTCTATATTTAACATTTGTGTAACTAGCCAGAAATGCTTTGATGTCATCATCAAATTGGCAGAAAAATAATCAAATTCATACTACATGAGTTAGTTTGTTCTTGTCCAGCCAGGTGTTAATCTTGTCTGGGTATGGCCAACAGAGAGCTGCACTTCAAAAATTCCTTTACACGTCAAAGACTAAAACTGTAAGAAGCTGCAAATTGCTAATTGGATTGAATTTATTATCAAGATTAAGAATTCAGGTAAAATGCAGGATTCCGCTCTGGAGGATTGGCGTAGATATGTTAATATTGGTATGAATGAAGTATGAATGGAAATGTCTGTCTGTAAACACTGGGAGAAAGAGCAGATCAAAGGGTTAAAAGAATGCATTAGGAAGGATACTATTCCCAGGAAACTGTTCCCTGCAGTAAAATTGAGGAATGTGTTGTTTATCTCAAAACCAGAAGGCCTATGCTCTGAAAAGACCACAGCACAGATGGCTTGTCGGGAGAAGACAAGCAGAAGACACAGTAAGGCCAGAAGGATGGCCACAAGGTTACAATATATCAGCTACACTGCTGATATTTCCTGTTAGCCCACCCAGAAAACAGACTATAGCATAGTCTATTTCCTCCAAACAAGGAAAAAAAGACAGTGGGCAACAACCCGGCCCAGGGTTCATGGAGGATGAAGTAAGCAAGATTCTGAGGCAAAGGACCACCCCATAATAGCTGATGACTCCTGAAGGATATAAAAGATATATCCATAAACTAGCTTGTCATTTCCAATCAAAAAGAACCACAGAGACATAAGGACTCAGCAGCTGGCATACCTTGCCCTGTGTTGCACACAAGTAATACCGACCAGAGTGCTTGAGCACATGTCTTGGTGCTCGTGAGTATGCAGGTTTGAGTGTATGACTGAATGAAATCTATGAGATGGTAAATGTGAGTTGGTAAAATCAATTTGTTTGGAGATTTTGTAAATAAACATCACTTTCCACTGCCATTAAATTTTCAATTGCATTTTGTTAGACTAATTGGGAGGTACCTTCAGGAAAGCTTCAACACAGACAGGGGAAATAACGCCCAGAGGACGCAGCCTGCACAAAAATTGGCTCCAGCTCTACCAAAATCATATCAGCTAGCCTCATTTCTCAATGATATGGGCTTAATGAGACAGAGAGGCAACCCTGAAGTCAAGATGAAGCATCAGGTAGATGATAAGACATACTTTTGTGTCATCTCTTTGCACATGTTTCCAAACTCTGTAATTGATTTTTGACACTGCTTTTTTATTAGATTTAATTGCTTTTTAATTCCCTTCAATCCTGTTTAGTGCTGAAAGGGATTCCAATGGTCTGAAAAACACGGAGTTCTTCATTCCCAAGAACTGTCCAAGTTGATTCAGGAAAGGTGGATAATCATCTGAGTTTTCTATCTCAGAAAGATTTAGAGGTCCCTAAAAATGGAAGTCCTCTCACCTGACTTGAGACAGCTTCACTGCCGACATTGACATCTGAGTTGGCTTCCATAGGTTACCTTTAAAGATGACTTAGGACAGAGTCTTTTAGGGCATGATTCAACTAATCTACTTTAAACGTCTATATTAGGATGAGAATGAAACCACACTTAGGATGATATGAACCGTCCCTATATATACTGATTTCTCTCCCTTGACTTTAAAGGAAGCCCAGCATCTAGCTAGGTGGAGAACAATAGCTTATCAGCAATTACAACAGATGCTTCTAATCTAGGCCAAACAGATTTTGTTTGCAAAATCAAGTGGGAAGGAAGAATGCAACCACTAGAAGATTTACACACATTCACAAAACACTGTCCTGCATGTTCAGAGTGAGCTAGAAAATCATGTGCAAAATGTAACTGTTTTCATGTACCAGAAGACTTACTGCAATGTCTATGAACAAAAAGACTGAAAGTTGTGTGGGCTAATGTTATCTGGCATTTTGTCTGATAGACAGAAATTTCTTTTAGTGTAGCGTAGGTGAAAAATGTGTATGATATCACAAAAGGGTCAGTCATAAGTATGTGTGTGGTTTTGTTCTCGGTTTAGGGGTTTGGGTTTTTTAAGAGTAACAAGTACGTTCATTGAAAACCATCATTTGTCACCCTGAAAACTACAGTTAAAACCATTTGGTTCTCCCTACTGTTCACATCCTTGTTCCTTTCTGATGCAGATCATAGTAGCAATCAATACTAGATAATAGTCAGTAGATGCATTGGGAGAATGAAGCTCAAATTTCTTCTGATTCCTTTTCAAGTCTGTTATCAAACATCACGCATCCCTATGCTAAGAGAAAAGAGACATAACCGGGAAAAAGCAGAAGCTACAGTTATGCATTTTTGTACCTCCCAGGGATTTTAATACAGGCTGGAATAGAATTAAGAGAAACTTCAGGAAATAAAATGCCATCTATGGCCAGTCACTCTCTAAAGCTTAATAGGAAGCAGTAAAGACAGGTAATTGGTAATTGTCGAAAAATTACTTACTTCACAAGACAGCTGGTATTTGCACAAATGATCTCAGCTACTGTACCTAGCAAATATGATCATGCATCTCATGGGAGATAGTTTCTACATACCTGAAATTAGTTATGACCCACTGTCTTTATTACTTACTCAGCACTGGCCTTCTTGTTGGTCTTCTGATCACTGTAGGTTTCCTGGTAATTATGTCCTCTGTGAGACATAATGACATACTAAAAACCAATAAAAGCTTAAAATTTTCCAACTTATCAAAAGAAGGTATCTGCAAATCTGAAGAGCTGCATTCAATAAATCTTCATGCACCGTGTCAGAAACTACAAATGAAGTGATGTGTTTTCATAACCATGACTTTTTTTTGTTTTTTAATTTGCATTTATGCTAGAAACATTGGTTCATTTTAAAAAACAAACAAAATAAAATAGAAAACAGCGTTTTCCAGTCTTATATAAATGATACACGTACATAGCATTTCCCAGTCCCGTATACATTTAAGTGAAGTACTAGGTTTTTCATGTTCCGGTTCTCAAGAAAAAGAGAAAGGCCTTAAGATTTATTACTCTAGAGCAAAATAAAGATAGCAGATGTACTTACCTGGATGATCAAGAGCATCAGCTAAATCAAAATCATGTTGACCTAGCAGAAGGAAACAGAAAATGTCAGTGGGCAAATTTCTGTCACCTCCAGGTCTGAGGGCTCCTGACAAAGCCAGAAAACTGTTTATAGGCAAAAATACAATCCATCCAAATAAGAGCAGGCCAGGAGCAAGTTGTCAGCTGTTATCTCTGCTCCACACAGTCCTAAATGAGCATACAAGATGGGGTTCATTCAATTCAAAGAGGTAATTCATTCAAAAAACACAAAGAGGTTCTGCTCGGTAATGTTACCCATATTCAGCCCATGTTTACATGCGTTTAAAGAACACATTGCCTATTACAGAGCCCAAGAACCATAGCCAGAAGATCACTGAAATTAGCGTTCAGCACGGTACTTACAAATCAGAATCATTTGGTGAGAACTTTTAATATCTGCGTTATTGTTTTAACAGCTCAGCTTCAGAGATCAGCTTTACTGGCATGCCTGCCTTGAGATCACTTGCAATCTGAATCAACAGTTTTTTAAATCTTCCTGCAACATGTGCCAGCACTAAAAGGCATAACGATACCTACACTGATTCAGTTTCCACTGTACCTTAAAAAAATCTGAAAGGAGAGAAGAAAGAAAACACTTTTGTTCCGTTTTACGTGACAATGATGTCATTAAATGTGTCACAGCCGGGAAATTATCATCCTAACCTTCGAAGTTAGTAAGTAAATAAGACTGAAAAATATTTAAATTATATGAACTAAAACATACAACTTTGAACTGAGCAAGCACAATTATTCATTTGAGATTTATTTTCCACTCTCTGCAATCTATCACTTTGCTTTTAATGCACAGCCTTCATATATCACTTCTTTGCAGAATATGTGTCCATTAGCCTTCATTCACACTGAAACTTCACCACGCTTGTGTTTGCATACCACATGAAAGATTAGCCTGCACAAACCTACAAAAAGTCACCAGGTGCCATGGCTTTTATGAGCAGAAATGGTCTATTATGTTCTATCAAGCAAGTCTCTCGAGGTACAACTGTTTATCAGTCTAAGAGGCGCAATATCTAACTCTTTGATAAAGTGTTTTTCTTAGTAAGTCTGGAACACTTCACAGCAAGAAGAATGTCATTGTACAAATGAGGAAACTGAGGAACAGAAAAAGGCTATCGAAGATCCTCCAAGACAAAGGTATCAGGTGTTGTGAATCCCAGTTCAGTGCTCTATTCTCTACAGACACTGTCAGTCTTTATGTGATTCTCAACATTAATTATCATTCTTGAACAATAGCTCTTGTGCGTGTCAAAAGGCTCCTGGAAAGATTAATTAATGCTGGTAAAACACTCTGTGATCCTCAAGTGAGAAACAGCACAGGAGTATAAATTAAAAACATTTTGATTACCATGAAGATTTTCATGTAAGCCTGTGAACTTAATTATAGCTAGTGTTTGACAAAAAAGATACTACACGGCTGGAATGCTAAACAATGGCTTCTAAAACAAAGCTGTCCCTATAAAATGTTATAAGAAACCCATGTTTGGAAAGAAAAAGCACACAACAGCTTAAGACTTTCCGGTTAACGTTATCAGAGTAGGATTTTATTGCTTACCACTTGAGCTTGGAACGTCACCTCTTCCCACTAGCTCCTTCCTGTGACCAGGTCACTCAGCCAACCTGGCTAAGCTCAATAAACTTTGGACTGGCTCCTTAAATGAGTAATATTCTAAGACCCAGACTGGTTCTTCCTTTTATATGAATACATTAAATAAATAAAAAAAAAATTTGACAAATGGCTTCCAGAGGAGATATTCCCTGAGGGCCCCAGCAGCCCTCACAGTCTCTGCCCACCCCCAGCCTCCCTCTGCCTGGCCCCAGCCCTGGTCCCAGCCCGGTCCAGCACAGGGCCATCAGTCACTGCCCCGTGATGCCCTGCCCCTGCTTGGCCGTGGGCCCCTTGGCCACGACCTTGACCCACAGGCGCCCGCCCGGCCTGGCCTCAGCCCGGCCCCATCCATGCATCGGTATCCAAAGCCCAGGGCTGTGCCTGAGCTCGGATGCCCTCACCAGGCCTGATCCTGACCCTGACTCAGGCTGGACCTTGGACCTGCCCCACCACCATGGACTTGCTCGATGATCTGGGCTCTCGGCTGACCCCAGCTGCTGTCCCCAGGCCTAGCGTGATAATAAAAGGGTAAAAATGAGTCTGTTGCCATCCCTAATACCTCCTGTTCTTAAGACTTATATGGCCAAATTGTGTTTTTCTGGAGCATTTCTTTACTGTCAGCGACAGTGGGTGTTAAGTTCGGCTGTTATTTGACTGTATAAACCTTTATCGGTGTCCTCAGTCCTAAAGGAAGCTGTCTTATTTAAGCCCTGCTGCAGGATGACTTCAGCAGAGCTCAAATCATTTTTCGTCAGAGTGAGACATCAAAAATAATTTCATAACACCAAGGCCAAACCAGCTCCTTTGCTACAGGTTCCAACATGTAAGAACCAACGATACAAAAAGCAACTACCCAGGTCCTAATGTTATAAAGAGAGCTTGAAATATTCGTCTTGTGAATGAAGACTCTGGAAAATTTCCATCTATAAAATTTCTTTGAAGTTGGGAAAAAGAAAAAAAACAGAAAGAGGAATATAATCAAAAGAGATTATGGAATTCAAACAAGATCACACAGATGCTTCCAATTGAATGAAAGCTAAAGCAAAATAGCAGACTGAAACAGTAACTAACATCTGCCCTTCTCCTGGAAATATCTAGATTTCCATCTTCTGTGATATGCTCTATTATCTAAAGGGTGGAAAAAGACAAGAGGTGTTGTTTTTAGACAGCAAGGGGGAAAGAGACTACAGAAATCTTCAAACAAAAAAGAAGGCTGAAACCTCCCTGCAGAGGTGATTCAGATTGCTGGGTTTTTTGTTTCTTTGTTTGTTTTTTTTTTCTGATGATAAAGGAAATGACAAAAAAACCAGCAACCAACAGAATCACTGATTGGGAGTGAGAAAGGAATTTACATTAAAATTTCTACAACCATGTAAATATAAAACTTGACAGATGGGCAGATTGTATGTGGACATCTGTGTACCAAGGTAAATGATATTTCAATAAACCAAAGAGATTGCTTGGACTTCCATCCTGACTTCCTCAGATAATAACATTAAATAACCTCAAGGAGTAAGATTTTGTGGAGCAGAATTTTAAACGCTCATTACCATTTCTGAGACTGCACCTAGACATTTCAAGAATCTAATTTGGGAGGATAACAGATGCTTAAATAGCTGAACAGCCTAGATTTCATCCACAAAAATGGAAGGTCTAAAAACAATAACATATTAGAGACCGAGAGAGTATTTAGCTCAGTAGGAACTGCAGTCACTCCAGGGAACTCTAAAGACAAATGACAACTGAAATAAATTAGGAAAGCTTCTTCACAGAACAAACAGACTGATAGAAATTCATTTTCCACATAAAAAAGCTTAGTATGGCCTTTTCTTGACCAGCTTCTGTAATAGAAGCAGCTGGAAATACACAGCTGAAAATGAGAATGAAATAAATTTAAACAGGGAGAAAACAGCTTTATTCCTTTGGAATTTCTTTTTTATGTGGACAAAATTATGAACAGATTTAGCTATGCAGGAGGTATTATGTTAGAGTTTTTGCTGTTATTAGTGCTTTGGGCTAGTATGCTATTTCTTGGCATCACTTCTGGCATTTCTTCTGAGAGCATCCGTGTTTTTATGTAGAAATAAAATGCTTGTAATAGTGATTTTTGGTTAGGTGGTCCAGGATTATTCTAAACAAAGAATCTGAGAAAATGCCTATAAGCTCCTGCCTGCCACCACAGAACAGACCTTATTTGCAAATGAGAAAATGCCAGGCTAAGAAAGCAAGCCTTCCAGATGGATATACAGTTGTATCTAGAAATGAGTTGTTTTACTGATGTTTATACTAGCTGTTCAAATACAACAAACTATACTAACAGCAGGACTTTTGCTGGCGCTACCAGGCTTATTTGGGATGTAACTGCCTCCTCTCCACCCAACTCATGTAACCGTGCCAGGAAAAGTTTGAATTGTAGACCGGGCCTCAGTCACTCACCCTACTCTTCTCTGTAACAGCCAAACAGGGGAGAATGGATATGTGGAGTATGAGTATGAAATGTAAAAGACTTGTATGAAGCTGAGCACCAAAATACAGTAGCTTAAATTTCAGAGTTACTACATTTATTTTGACAGGCATGATTCTTTCAGATAGGAAATCTGGGATCAAGTTCTACTTTCACTGATATTCATACTCATATTTTCTATTAACTTTTTTAGCATAATGTACTAGACTAGTGCTATAAAATCATTATTAGTTCATTTTCTGTAATGTAGAGATTGTTAGGAGTGCTCTTTGCCACAGAAACTCTGAGCCAGTTGTTAAAATGTTCCCTTGAATATAAGACACATCGTGCTAAGTCACCCTGGAGCTCAGGCCGCCCTTACTCCGCCAAGGCAGTCCTCTGTGAAGTTGTGCCCTCAGGTGTGTGCACACGTAATGTTCACAAACTTCTGTCCATATCAGTTGTCTGAAAATGTAACTCAAACATCCAGTCAATAAAATACACAGAGCAACATCTTTTGCATATGGTTGAATTTTTCACCCAAATATTAAGAGGATCCACCACCCTTTAACTATGCAACTGACTGATCACATGAGGGTCAGGTCCCACCGCTTTTGAGGAGGATTTGTAAGGAAGACGACTAGACTCTGCACATGGATGTTACCGGTTAGAAAAAGCTTCACTGAAGCATGTTGCTGATGCTCAGGAAGTGTCCACGTTAGCCATCAGTGAAACTAGTAACACAGAGCCTTTGAAAACTACTACAGTCGGTCACTCTATTTATTAACTGGTCAGAAGGCCTAATATTCGTAAGAACATACGTAGCAGCTTCGCTATCATTGAGATGTGAGCACTATAGTTCAAGAGGCTTAGGCAACACTAGTAGTCTTTTTAGAATAAACATTTTGCCCAATAGACTAAAATGCTTATAAAGAAGCCAAGAGCTGACAGATCTCACTCTACTTTCCACATTACTATTTAATGAAACACTAAGTTTGGGACTGTTCTGATTCCTTTTTCAATAGTTTATAAATTTCAACTGCGAGTCCCAGGGCCTGCACTGACTTTCTATC